CAATTTGGAACAGATTTTTACGAAGAGTCAATTTTCTCCCCATAAATTGGTCATGTGACTAGGACATAAGGGTGTCCAGGGACTCCAGGGGATTAATCGTCAAATTAATCGTTATCGGCTAAATACCACAATTAATTGTGATTAATTTATTTGCCAATATTGCCCAACCCTAATTCAGAGATGTCAAAATAAAATTTGTGTCAAATAGGGGGTGTAATGTGTTCTTTTTGTTTTTTATATTGTTTATTACTGATTTATTTGTTATTTATTTATTTATTACAGATTACTGCAATGCTCTCTATTTAGGAGTCAGTGATTTGTGCATTTCCTAGCTTCAGAGGGTTCAAAATGCTGCTGCTCGTCTCTTAACAGGTACACGGAAATTTGATCATATTTCCCCTGTTTTAGCTTCTTTACACTGGTTGCCAATATGTTTTAAGATTCATTTTAAAACTCTTTTATTTGCTTTTAAAGCTCTTAATGGCCTTGCACCTTTCTACTTGTCTGAGCTGTTGCACCCCTACACGCCCTCCCGTTCCCTTAGCTCAGCTGACCAGTTGCTTTTGAGTGTACCAAGGAGAAAGCGCAAGCTTGGATAGGACCGTGCTTTTTCTGTGGCAGTTCCCAAACTATGGAATGACCTTCCTTTGGATATAAGACAGGCCTCTTCCCATGATGTTTTTAAATCACTTCTTAAGACCCATCTTTTTTTTGGCTTTTGTCACTATCGGGGATATTTGACTTGTGACTTTGTTTTATTGTGTTTTTATCTGTGTTTTATTTGATTACTACTTGTATTTTTCTATTTTATGATTGTATTGTATATTATGACTGTGTGCAGCACTTTTGTCCTGTCGGTGTTTAAAGTGCTTTACAAATAAAGTTGGTATGGTATTGTTTGTTTATCACTGCTTTTATAGGGTTCTGTGTGCTGTAATCATGATTAAATGCAGCAAAATAAACTATGAAGGTAACAGATCTTTGCAATACTTGGTTTATTTACATAATAAATTTAATTGCTGGGTGTCCAGCCCCTCAGCTGTTGACCTGCAGTATCTGTGGACCCCGGAGCAGTTTAGTTGAATARCCCTGACTTAGGAGCTTAATCCGAGACCAGTTTGACAATGAATAACATCGGGTGACGAGTCTGACTTTTGTTTTGTTTTTTCACATTGGACTCCACCGAGAAGAAATCCCGTGCATACCGCCTGCTTAAATGTTCGCTATGTCAGAACTTATTCAGCAAATGTGTTTCCATCTCTGCTTTTGCGCTTTTACTCTATTACAGGATGGGGGAAATTGGTCTTGGCGGAGGTTTGCACTCTCCAAGTGCTTCTAGTTTTGATTAGTCTCAGGGCCAAAAACACAGGCTCTGAGGATGAAATGGAGTTTATAGATTTGAGAATAAACATTAAACTTAAAACTAGATTTGGTTTTCTGCGCATTATTTGGTTTTCCAATTTTTGAACACTTTTTACCAATACAGATTTTCCACATAAGATTTACGACAATGATTATTATGATTTACAATATGCGCTGTTGCCAACTCCTTGTTAAGTTGAGTAGCTTTTCGCTTTTCTAAAAGTCACTACATGATGTTTTTACCAATTTTACATATTTGTTACCAAATACTAAAATTCAAAGTAGTCCGAGGGGTCTGAAAACTTGCTAAATCTATTGAGCCAGTCACTTACATACTTACACTGACCATGTATGTTTCTGAGGCTGTGCTAATGGTGCATTCACAGACCAAAATATGTTGGATTTCTCAGTAATTACCATTTAAAAACTGGGGGGAAAAAAATCACATTTTTAGGATTTGTTCTGCCGGTCACCGGTTTGAGCCGATCAAGGTGAAAGACCATCTGGTACCAGTTTCTGCCTAGTGGTTTGGTGCATCGCTGCTGTTCAGACAAACGGACTTTAAGAGTGAATAAATGCCAAGGTCCCTGCATTAAAATAGTTTGAGTCCTCAGGCTGAGTCATGTTAGACTACCAAAGAATTAATTGTTTTAAAAGATATTCTTTAAAAAAAAAAAAAGGAGTGAACGCAAGATCTCACAGATGCATCTTGACAAGACTTTATTGTTCTAAACCTCCTGTGACGTGTGTGAAAGAAGGATCTGCTTGTAGTCCAATACCCAGGTGACCCTCATCACTGCTGATAACCACAGTGCCGGGGTACACACACCGCAGGGGCATCACTCCACAAAAAACATCCACATCACAAGACTTCATGTTTACAGGCATCACTTCAGACACCTGACTCAGCTAAATAAATAAATTAATTAATTAAAAAAATAAAATTAAATACAATAATGCAAATAACAGAGCAAGGAGTCAGTGTTCACTTGCATACATTTGAGGCTTTTAATTGGATTTTTTGGAGGGGGTAAAGGCAAAGCTGTTCACCTCCTCTGCCATTGATCATGGCCGCGCACTATTGTTCAACATTAATTTGTGCTAAATGACAAATCATGTTCATACCGAACAGCAACACTAAACACACAACACATCACTTACCGCAATCATCTGCTGATTTGTAAGGAACAGTAGAGACAAAAGTTTCCTTTAGCTGAAAGTCCTTGGGTAAATCCTGCTGTGTACTGGTAGAATTTTTCAAACGAGTTTATCGTGAAATTATTTGCACTAACTACAACTTTCTTTGACAATATTGCTAGAAGATTGCCAACAAAAATAGGACGTTTGGTCTTTGCTACAAAAGAAGTAAAGTTTATGAATGAAAAATATTTAATAACTTAGATTTTACTTTGAGTCAGAACTGTGACTAACCTGCATTTGATGGTGTTTTAGGCCATGTCATGAAATGAAATGTCTGCTTTAAACACTTTAAGAAACAGGTCTTAGTCTCTTTCTTGAGTTGTATGTTTGCATACTTTATTATAACTTCATTGAATTTTCACDTATGTTGTTGCAAATCTAGATTTAGCTAACTAAAACACAAATTACTGTATGCATACATTTTAGCTCTTTTTTCCCAGTCAATCTGTTGGCAGTAAATATCAACTGATTGATAAATATTGATTATACACTACCTGTCAAAAGTTTTAGAACATTTTTCTAGTTTTTTAATTTGATATTCAAGCATCTCAAGTCCAATGAACCATTTTAAAAACTACAATARTAAGTGCTGAACTGCCAGCGGTTTAAAAAAATATGTTTACCCAAAACTGAAAGTTGAGGTGTCTTCACCATCACAATGAACTCAGAAACTGGTGTAAACTCTGACAGGAAGAGGTGTGGCAGCCCAACCCTGGTTCCAGCAAGATGGCCCCAGAGCATCACACTTCTTCCTCCTTGCTTAATTGTTGTCACACACTGAGAAACCATACAAAAGTCCTGCATGATGAACAGATTTGTATTCATCAGTCAAAACCAACACCTTCTTCCAGTCTTCGCTGGTCCACAGGTGGTGTTTCATGGTCCAGGCTGACCTCTTTCTTTTTCTGAGGCCTTAGAGATGGTTTTCTTGCTGTGACTTGACCTGTCAACCTGCAGCTTCAAGTCTTCTCTTCACAGTGAAGGAAATTTAAAACTGCTTAGCTGAGTTTTAAATAGTCTTCATTTACTTTAACACAGACTAGAGAATCAAGAAGTCTATTTATTTTTGGTGTTAGTTTCTATAACTCACTTCCTTGTATGACATATTCGGGGTGAGACTAGGCTCGCTATGAAAGCTTTGCTGTAAGATGGAAGCAGGGCCATTTTTGTCTACACGCAGACAGGAGGCCCACAGCGCTGTGAAAACCTTATATGTGTGTAATCATTCAAGTCTGAGTACTGGACCAGTTTCTTGCACCTGATTCGAGTCCTGTGAACAAATTCTTACAACAGTTAAACAGACTTTCCTTCTACGACCACTATTTAACAGCCTATCGTACACTGTGGACTCTCAAACTTGTCTTCTGATGCTGTTGTGGCTCTGAGGCTGCCACACCTCATCTCGTCAGAGTTTCCACCAGTTTGAGTGCATTGTGATGGTGAAGGACACTTACCTTTTAAAAGATTTGGACCAGTGATGTACAGTATATGCACCAAGTATCAAGTTACCAGTATTTCTTTCTATTTTTATGATCTACTGCAGCACTGCTTTAAAACTCGAGTATAAACTGGGTCTGGTATTATCTGTGCACGATACATTATTCCCCTGAAATTAACTAAAAATGACACAACTATCTTGGAACTGAAGCTTCATTTATAAYGCACACACATCATATCTGCCACACTCTTGTAAACACACATCATAATGAATTCAACATCATTCAGAGTCRAGCTGATTTCCATTCATCAAAAATCTGACTGAACACACACGTTTGACACTTCTGCTTTTGGACACAGATGAATCATCAACCTGCCAATCTAAGTTTAGAAGTTTACATTTTTTCTATTAGTTCCAATGTTATGGTAATAAATGTCTGCTTTAACTATTTTTTCTTGCAGAGGTACATTGCCTTAGAAGACTCACAAGATGGTGAGAAAAAGGATCTTCAAAGTCGACTGGTGACGCTGGAGTCCCACGCGCGACAGCTAGAACTAAAGACTAAAAACTATGCAGACCAGAGTAAGTGTACTGTGTTCTACATCTGAAGGATGCATTGGAAGGCTGAACACACACACACACACACACACACACACACACACACACACACACACACACACACACACACACACACACACACA